TTTCTTTCTTTCTTTCTTTCTTTCTTTCTTTCTTTCTTTCTTTCTTTCTTTCTTTCTTTCTTTCTTTCTTTCTTTCTTCTTTCTTTCTCTTTCATTCTTTCTCTTTCACTGCTAGAATCTATATACTTGTCACCTTAGTGTGCTAGAAATGTTCCACTCAGATCAAGGGTTTCTTTCTGGTTTTGTATGTTCTCACCTGCTCCTCACTGTAAATCATTGAGATGTCAAGTGTAATGATTAATTAAGCTGCACGTGCAAGTGCTTTTTTTTTTTTCACCTGTCAAGCAGGAAAGAGGTCTTATAGCAAGATTAGATGGTGCTAATTCAGCTTTTACTTCAGACTGTCAAGTGTGTAGAAATATTTTATATTTAGATGCTTATTCAGAATATGACATAGCAGGGATTGTTTGGTTTAGAATTCTTAAATATTGTAAGGTGCAATTATTATACTAAACCCTATCATTAAACTCCTAATTAGAGGCAAAGAGTGTATTCAGAATTCCTACATAAATATTTTGGAATTTAGGGTTCATACTTTATACTTACCTTCTATTCAAATACTGCTAGTTGATTTAAGTTACTTGAAGTAAATATTTTTAAATTTTTAAATTGTGTGTGTGGGTGTGTGGTGTGTATTGTGTACACCATGAGATCCATTTGTAATGAGATTCATTCTTATTATAATATATCATGGGTTTAAATTTATAATGAAATGATGATAGTGGTAACTACACTTTTTTTCTTTGAGTAATGAAATTATGCAGAATGTAATATTAAGCTTTTAATTTTTATATTTTAATATTAAACAAGACTTGGAAAGCTTGTTCTCCCCACCCTAGTTCTTTCACTCCCGCCTCTTAAACCATCAGTAAAAGTAAAACCTCAAATTGTATAGTAATCTTAATCTATTATTAAAAGGTCCTAGAAAGGAAGATTACAAGGTAGATTCAGGTTTTGAATCGGTTTTGCCATTGGTTTAGCAGCGGGTGGGCAGGCAGATGCCTGCTCAGAGTAGAACCTATTGCCATTTTTCACCATTGATAGAGTAGCCTTTCAGAGTCAATGAGCTCTGTCAATGTGAGCTTGTCAAGGCTACAACTTCATAGACCTGAGAGGCGGTTTGAGAGGTCAGCCCTTTTCAGGTTTGCTGTGATGCAAATGAACTTTAATGCTTAAACAACTATTGGAATTTTTATGTCTGCTCCTTGTTCTTTTTTCTTCACAAAGTCATTGACGAGACATTCAGTGCTTTTTAAATTGGAAGTTGCATTGTGCTAAAGACCTAGTACAGATTTACGGAGGGCTGAAAGCAGTTAGATCATGTTCTTTTCATGGTGCGATTAGAATCAAATCGATTTCCCTACAGCCTTCAGCATTCAGATGGCAATTTTAACAAAGCTTGAGGGCTAGACAAGGGACAAAACGACTGAACTGAATGTTAATTACACTCTGCAGCCTTATTTTCTTTTGATTTGGGGCTGACTGGCAACTAAATTAACAAAAAGTGTGACCATAACTGCTGCCCTATTTTCATTTAAAAGGAGAGCTGCCTCTAAACGGCTATCTTTACAAAGAAACAAGTGAGGTCTGCTGATCATTGTTAGCAAGGGCACTTTTTTCCCTTTAAAATTCTTGCCCCAAAAAACTGTTCAAAAAATAATGTAATAAATTAGTCATTGGTATATTATTTTCCAGAGAGTGAGTTGGTTTTCTGATTTTTATGACATACACTTGGAGAATGTAAGGCAGTAGTGGTAATTCACTGGTAGTTATGAATTATAGCTGGCACCTATGTGACTGTGGTGTGTCTTTAGCATGTTCAACATGCTGAAAGGTAATGTGGTAACTAGATAATAGTAGATAATATTTTATTATAAAACATTTGACTATTGAAAAGCAGCTTGATCCTAACAGTTTCTCACCTAGCTCATCCCTGTTTGACATGCAGTTTTTCACATTTGATTATTAGTACTTATTTAGTTGTTCCACATTAATGGTGCTAGATGCTTTTTTCCTTCCCCTGTGAGGAAGCTGCAGCTGCACCAAGTTGCATTTGATTCTTGTGGCAACACTGTCCTTTTTGCACCTGCAGCTGTGCCAGTCTCATCTCAACACCTGGCACCATGAATTATCCTGTATTCCCAAGCAAGAAACATTGCATGCTGCATAGTATATATTGCAAAAATCAAGAGATCTTAAACATAAATTTCTCAGTTGATTAACAGTAGTGTTGAATTAAGAGTTTGATTTTACTATCATTCTTGTTGGTTTAAATACAATTTTGCCTGTTTTAATACTTAATACTTACATATTATTTCAGTATTGCAAATATATTTTTGAAATAAGTGGGGATTTAAATTTATATTATTTGATAGATAACTAGCTTTTTAGACTTTGATAGTTTTAAATCAGAGGCTAGTAAGTTTGAAACTGTGAAAACAGGAATTAGTGATAAAAAAACCAAACCAAACCATATCTTTATTAAAGTACTATTTGTATTCAGGTTACTGTTTAGTGCTAGACTGTTGAAAGTGTTATAGGCCACCCTATATTCAGTCACTGTCTTACACGTTTCTCCTTTTCACACAAAAAGCAGCTGCAAAACAGAGTTTTTCTAAAACCAGTCAAGAGTAAACTTTTTTCTCATTTGTCTTCCAGACACGAAGATCGATTGAGAAGTTATTAGAATGGGAAAACAATAGGTTATACCACAAGGTGAGTACCACAGGGAGCAGCTTCGTACTGTTGGGGTCTGAATTGCACAGTATGGAAACAGATGCTTTTGTTGAACTAAAAATATGAAAGGTGGACAAATGGGTTAGTCTGTTTGCTGCAATAAAATAGAGCTCATTTTTCTTCTTTTACTCTCCTTCTTGTCTAGCTGTGCTTGCACTGGAGACTGAGCAAAAGGAAATGTGAAACGAATAACATGATGGAATATGTAAGTTAAAGGGCTGTTTTGTGAGTTTCTCTATTAAATGATCATTTATTTTGCTTCTGATCTTATTCTTTCCATGATTATTAATCAGCAAAGGTGTCAGGAGCTTAATCTCCTGAGTGCAAGGATTTTCTACGGTTCACAGATGCATGGTTTCATGTGCAAGACTGATTTATAAAGTTATGAATGACTTGAAAACAAGGCTTCACTGTGTTCTGAAAAATAATAAATTAATTGCCAAGATAAAATAGCCTGAACATGTGTTGATGGAGTGTGAAATTTTAGATGCTGTATAAAGAATAACCACAACTTTGGTTACGCAGCAAGTCAGATATGGCTTTTTTATATAATGCTAATCAAGTTTCCAAGTGTGGAAGAAAACCTTTCAGCCAAGCCATTGGAGCTTAAGAAACCTTTAGCCTTTATAAATTTTAACTACCCATACCTCAGTGGCCTTTAAAGAATCTTTTAAAGTGTTATTAGAATATTGTTTTATAAAAATTATCTTTAAAGTAAAGTAGGAGATGGGGTTTGCCTGTCCTTTGTTGATTCTTTAAAAGATACCCAAGCTGGCGCATGCATACAGTGAATTTGAGAGCTTGTTCAGTGTGGCATTTAACTTACTGACTCCTTAATTCACTTGAACAGTTTTTCTCCTTTTGAAAAATTCAGAATACTATAGATAATTATGAATTTTTATTTCCCCTTGAGCTTGAGCATTTTATTTTAAATGTGGAAAAGTTATTACATTAAGTGAAAAAGATCTAAAGAAGAATTGATTGTTGAAATTAAAGTCATAGCCTTTGTGAAGTGCCTGGCACATCATTTCTGACAAATCCTATTTGAAACAATTAAGCCATTTGATTGTGTGTGTGTGTGTATAAAAGATTGATTAAAACAGTGTTTAAGTAGTTGGAAATTGTCCTAAAGTCATTTTGTTCTGTAGTATTTACCCTTTTTCATTATTATACAGTCAAATCCCATTTCTAGCCTTTAACATAAAAGATGTCTTAAAAATGTCTCTTTTTTTCATAAAATAGGTCTATATTCAGTGAACCAAATAATGTAAAATTTATCATTATCTTTTATATCAAACATGTTACTTTATGATGATGAGAAAGACACTTGATACTTTATAATATTAATAAAAAAGAACACTCAAATAACTTGTTTTGAGATTGACCTATGAAATATGAAAATGCTAGTCTTGTATTTTCATCAGAGATGGTAAGAGAGTTTATGTATTTTGGTGGGAGGGCTGGATATGTAGGAGATTTAAAGCATTTTGTGGAAAAAAAAAAAAAAAAAATTGCTTTATTTATAAACCCAAACACGAAGCTTAAAACTGAAGCTTTATTTATTTATTTTTGCACATTTCTAAATTTACATTGGAAAGGAAAACATAAAGTTATTCCCAATGCTATTATTTCCAGATAGAATTATAGGAATGTCACTCATTCATAAAATATACTTATTAAATAAAATAACTTACTAACCTTCCAGAACTCTGTGAGCTCTGTGCTTTGTTTGTAAAATAGCTTCCTTTAATTTATTATGAATTTTTAGATAAACTCTACTACTAAAGCCATATTTTTCATACCATCATAGAAGATACTCAGAAGAGTAGTAAGACTTTTTTTTAATTGCTAGAAGTTGTATTTTTTCTAAATTTTCTCAGTATGTATATTTGTGGTAGTTGAATGGAGGAATAGCCTAATTTCAGAACCTTTCTAACAAAAAATTTTTAAAAGTTAAGATAACAAATAATGTAGTAAGAAGAGAGTGTTTCTTTATCTATTGAATTGGGGCATTTTTACCATGTCTTTGACTTGAACTGTTCTTTAACTTACAGAACATATTTCATTTGTTAAAGGATTATATTTTGAATATTGGAGACTATCTAGAAAAATACCAACTTGATACCAACTTTTCTTTTATTCTGATATGGTAGAGCAGTATGATTTAGAAGGAAAGAGATAGGTGGCTAATTTCTGTGCATTTCTTCTGAAGGAAAAGAGTTCATAGGATATATTCTTTGAAAAATAATAATGGAAATATGGCCAAAGAAAGCATTTATTTTCCATTATGTAGTATACACTGTAAAACATAATGCCTACATTCAAGAGCTGAAACTGTATAGACTGCTTCATTGAGGACATGTTTGAAATATAGACATATTTATTGAATATTAACTCATAAGTAGTTTAAACATTTAATCATCAAGTTTTAGATTCAGTTTCTGAAAAAACAAAAATGAGTTCACCAAACTTGGAAATGTTCAAATCAATTTTTTTTGTTTGTTTAGCATTATTCTATACAGAATTGGAAAAGGGAAAGAGTTGATTGGAATTTAAGACAGTACAAGTTTGGAATAAAAATTAGCTCTGGTCAGCTTGTGTCTTTCTGTGCTACTGTGTTCTGTCTTTGTTGGTTTTCCTTTAATTTTTTATAAAAGGTCCTTTGGAACAAATTTCAACCTTTAATTTTGCTAACTTAAGAAGAAAAGGACTTTTAAAAATTTAAGAGATGAAGGATCAATACTCTTTATTTAGAGATCACATATCGTGGTACAGTAAAAATGAGAGCAATTCTAGAACATAAAGACCCTTGGAATTGGGTTAGATAAAGAGGAGGAAGCCTGAATAAATAAATATTGGGTCAGCTGCAGCCACATAGTACAGTAGAAAAGGCAAGGCTTTGCAGTTAAGACTGACCTTTGTTCAAATAGGGACTCCTCATCCATGGTGTTACCCTGCTTAGATAACCAGTTTCCTCATCTGTAAAATGAGGGTGAAAATGCTTGCCTCATAAAAAAGTTGTTGGGATTCAGTAGATCCAGATAGTATGAAATACTTGTAGGTACTAGTTATTCTTGGTAAATGCTAGTTCTGTTTTCTCTCTCATTCATGCATGTATTCTCCTGTGTGCCAAAGGCACTATCAAAATTAAGTGATGGAATATAACTGAACTTTTGTTAAGATGAAAACCTATTTAAATCTTTTTAAAACTTTTTTTTCTCCTTTTACAGGTCATCCTCATAGAATTTTTACCAAAGACACCGATTTTTCGACCAGATTAGCATTTACTTTATTTATAGAGACTTTCCAAGTATGTTGTCTTTCCAATGGTGCCTTGCTTGGTGCTCTTCTGGTGGTGACATAACATTGGTTCTACAGAATCGTGTGGTGGTTTTCTGTTGTGTTTTTTTTTTTTGTTTTTTTTTAAATAACCGCATGTTCTAAGTGTGTGTTTTTGTCCAACTTTGCAACAGTTATTTCATACAGATGTTTAATACTTAAGTTATTGTGCTTTTTTCTGTTATGTATTCTGATTTTCAAGGATTACTTTTTTGTATTATCAAAAAAATACAGTTGAACTTAGCATAAAAAGTGGCCAGCCTTTTTTATTTTATCACCAAGGTACACATAGTCCTTTATTTATTAATTCCTTAATATAGAAAAACACCTTTGTAAGGCTTTACTTATCAATTCTAGCAAGCACACTCTTTGCATTATTTTCTCCCTTTTTAAATTTAATGTAGTTATTATTTTCAAGTAGTTTTCTTTAATAGCATTTTGGAATTTAACATGTCCTTTCTCATACAAATCCTAAAGCTCTGTTTACAACGGAAATACCTGTTACATTATGAAGACCTATAAAAAAGTTTTGAAAGGATTTCTGTCTTCAAAGGTAGCAAGGCAGGATTAAATTAATTTTATTAAAATAGACAAATCAGTCAATGGCATGCATGCATCTAATGGTTACTAGAGCTCAGGATCATAAAATATAGTAGCATTACAATCTGTATATATTTTTTATCAAGATGATAATAATGGCCTTACTTGGGTTATTTTTTATTGTTTATCAAATCTTATATACAAAAGTATGGAAATACTCCTTTAAAAATTTTCTAAGGGAAATGTTTCTCCTAATCTAATACAGTTGTAGAATGGATATATGTTTCTAAAAAGTTTTTGAAAGAAAGCAAAAATTCTAGAATTAAAAATAAACTGGCATTTAATACCCCATTGATATTTACAACAGATTATTACTAAGAAATGGCAGGCATATTTAGTACTGTTTTTATCTACTAGTTTGCTTTTGGTCCAGTTAAGTGTACTTTTTGATTGAGAGTGATGTTTAAGTTTAAATCAGATCAGCTTGTTTCTTTTAAATATATACAAGCATACATATTTTTTTCTCCTTTTGGTTGTACATACGTCCATGCATTTTAAAACTTTCTGAATGGCCTATGTGTAAATTTTTGTTTTTATAAACCTGAAATTATACAAATTTTAATGTGTGTCAAGAACTTGTTCAGTTCAGCTGTGGTATCGAGCAATAATGTGAATAACTTTTGAAATTATATAAACTATGCTTAATAATTTGTATTAAGAATTGGTACCACTATACAATACCTTCTTCCTTGTATTAAATCTTTTAAATACCAGTTTCATTAATTTATATACCTGTATTTTTTAAAAAGTATTTCTTTGTACTTCTCCAAAGTACTGTAATTCTATATGAATTTGAATAGTTGAATGCCAGTATTTTACGTCCTATATCCTATATTGGACATTAGGAACTATCTTAAAACCTAGGATTTTTTTTTTGTATGAGAATTATTTGTTTCCATTGCCCCCTAAAGTACTTAACTTTAATTTATAAAGCACTTTTCCTCTAAAGAGCTCAAATTACAAAGAATCCAAACACATCTCACTTTATTTACCTTATGTCTAGGGTGTAGGCTGCCACCTTAAAGTAGTGGAATTAAAAGATAATGCTATTCAAAAACTCTATTATTCCTCTAGTTTCAGTGTGGAAAATTACTGTATGGAGAATGCTAACTCTGCCTCAGTATTCAGAAAGAGCAGAAAAATATGACTGGGTAGACTATGCAACATAGTGTTCCATATCTAAAATTTTATAAATTTATAGAGCAGCATATTGATTAGCTTTATAAGAAGAACTGTACCTTTTGAGACATAATTTTTTTCTCCTATTATTAGTCTTTTGTAAGTTATAATTTTTATTTTATTCCTTTAAGAATATTTAACAATAATTTCATAGTTGATAGTATTAAGTTTAGGATTTTTAAAAGCTTTAATAATTTTATTGAGAGGTGTGTCAGTTGCTTAAAGATTCCCTAGAAATGTGCACTCTTACATTTCTAATGTATATAAAAAAAGAACTCTGAATGCTTAATAGGTGGTATTACCGTAAGCCAGTTATGCCTTGAGCTTGAGTGTCTGTGCTTGGGTTTTCCTTAGTAGCCCCCAGTATGACCCCTCTGGCTTATTCTTTCTTGAATCATGAATCTAAGTGCCCATGTTACTGGAAATTAGAAATTTTTAAAATGATGATTGTTCTTCTGTTCCTGTTTTCTGACTTAAAGTTTGTGAAGCATGAATCATAGGTACTTTTAAAACTGACCAAGAAAAAGTATTATTAGCAGAAAATCTAATGTATAGATTTTACTTAGGATCTTTGTTTATACATTACTGGCATTTTATAGTCAGTGTCCCATTCCTGTGTAGAAACATTCTTTTATCAAATAATGTACTTTGGAAGCCCTATTCTATTTTAATACGTGACTTTTGTATATCTGGGTTAAAATATATATACTCCAAAACCTAATGACTATAGTAAAACGTAAGTGGCACATTTAGCTTCTAAGGTAGATACTGCCCTGCGCTCACAGGAGGGTTGCCTTACTTCTATAAAATGGTCATCAGATGCTTTATTAAGACACTTTAATGACTAGGTTTCATTCATTTGTGATATAAACATGTAATTTAGGCCTAAAATCAAGAAGTGTTCAAACCTCGAATAATAGTAAACTGATTTCATTTTCTTAACTATAAAAAGTAGTTTTGTAATTGAATTTTAAATCAAGAAAAACCACAGCCTTCTCCATAGTTCTGTTTTCAGTGTTATTTGTACAGAGCTTCTGATTGCTTCTTTATAGTAGTAGGCATAGGCCAACAGTATAAAACTTTGACAACATTTTTTATCAATCCCTAGTTATGAAAAAACATAACTAGGGATAGTTATGAGTAACATGTACAGTTGGACCCACAGCCACATGAGTTCACACTGTACTAGTTTTACATAACATGTACAGACTGTTTCAACTTTCATGGTATTCTGCTTCACAATTGTAACTTAGTTGCATGCCTGATTTTTACTGTAAATATTTGCTTTGGCTCAACTGTTGGTCAGTAGTACTAAATCAACTAAAACACAAAGTACAATGTGTTTAAAACTGTCTTTAGCTGAATTCAGGCATCTAGTCCTGGACCCTCTTTCCTTCTTCTGTCCTACTGAAGCACTTTGGGTCCTTTTGCTGCCCCCTCGACGTCCAGAGTCTTCCCTCAGGCAGGGACATAGTCCAGAATTGCCTTTTTATCATCCTTTCCCAAAGCTCCCAGTAAGAATGTTAATTCTTTTTGCATTCTTAGCTAGGTGTTTAGTAAGCCAGTTAAACTGAATTGGTTACATTAAGTGATTAAGAGCTGATACTTTCAGCTGTGCTAAGGTGGTACTTGCATTTGTATAATGGAGTTTCTTAACTTAAATTTCTAATTTGGTACAGTAGTGTAATTAGCATTTTCCTTTTCAACAGTTTCTATCAGTCCAGACAGGGAGGGAGGAATAGGATAGTTACATATGGGCCTTCTCAAACCACCATTTCTGAAGAAAAGCTGATTTATATCTAGTATTAGGGTAGAAAAAATAGACCGAAGGCCAACCCTACACCAAACTATTAGTTATCCTGTAATAGTTTGTGTTTACCCTTTTTTTAAAAAAGAGAAAGTAACTCTTAATTTTCCATATATATGATAGCCAACTGTTATTTTTAGTAGCATTTATATAAGTTGAGATTTGAAGATTTGTCTTTAAATTTTGAGTTATCTTGTTCTATACTTTTACAAAGGTTTTTAGATAGTAATTTAAGAGAAGCCTGTATATTGTCTATATTATTAGTCATATTTCCGTGTACTACTTGTTTCTGCAATAGGGAGCAATATTCTGTGCCCCCCATGGTAAATTGAAATAAGAGTTTGTTTATAGCCTTAATAGACAGTTCTGAAAAACAGAAATTCATAATGCTAATCCTGATTTTTAATTCATTTCTATGTTCTGCAAAATCATCAAATTACTTGGCCTCTTTGCTTTTATTTTCATTTCCACAAAAGGAAGATAGTATGACTACCTCATTTTTGATCATTTATTATGCTGTTGTTTATTAAATCCTATATAAAAGTCGCTAGATGTTTACTACTAATGGTTGAGTAGCATTTTTGACTTATTTACACTGCAGTAAAAACTTGAGTTACTTTCAGACTTTGCATTTAAAATTAAAGCATTAGAATGAGTATTCCCTGTATGTACCTATAGTAAAGCTTTGCATGTTTAAAAATCAGGTAGGCATTAAGTATAATACTTGAGAAGTTTTTTTTCTAATACCTTTTAAAATATCGTTTCATCTTAGATAGTTAAGCAAAATCATGCCTTAAAAAAAGTGTTTCTCTACATCATAAACATGGTGCTTTGTCTGAATATGAGAATTGACTCTTTTTATAAAAAAACAGGTAGTATATTACTTTTCTAGCTCTTTATCTCAGAAATATTTAATGAACTAACCACACCAGGCATTCTTAGTTTTGGCAGATAAGCTGTCTATTCTTTTTTTCTCCCTTTTCTTTTTTACGAAGCAATGCCAACCAGCTTTCTGGAGAACCTAAGTAATGGGTCAGTGTTCTGACTACTCTTTTATTGGACCATAATGTTCCCTCAAACTGCAGATTTTTCTCACCTATTCTCTCTTACTGGTCCTTAATTTAGTGAAACTGGTTCCAGTTCTTTCTTTTTGACATAAATACTATATAGACTCAAAATATTCTAGAAAGAAAGAGTGTGCGATTCCCTCAAGATACCTTTTGTATGAAATAAGAGACCCTCCTCTTTCTCTCTTAGTAGCAGCTTATTTAATTAGGTAATTAAACAATCTCATTGCATTGCCATGAAGTCTTCATAAACAGGAGTTTGTTTTAACTGAAGTTATCAAAACCTTCTTAAAATCTCCACTTAGTTTTACATTTGTTGGAGCCTATGACATTTTGCCCCCTCAGAAGTGTTTAGCATTGTGAAACTGGCAGTGGGAGCAGAGTAGACGTGATTAGAAAGCAATATGCTGAAATCTTCTGGCTGAGAGAGGTACGGCATTGTTAATCCTACCTGTACTTTGGCTTACCAATGGGAAAGTTATGCAATGGCCAGAATTGCACACAGCTCAGTGCTTTCTTTTATTACATTCTTGTGTATTACAGTGGAAATTATTTTTTAAAAAAGAAAAATGTTCTAGGTAGAGTTTTCAATTCTGCTATCATGTCTTTTGAAAAGATAGTGGGAAGCTACCTTGAATAAAGTTTTCTGTTTATCTTTTATAATTGTGTGACAATTAAACAATTAAAAATACTAAATAAGTGATTAAAGGAATTTGTTCCTATGTCCTTAGTGAGCATGAAATAGCTTTCAAGTATAATTCATCAGGAACCTCTGATTGAACAATTATGCACACCCAAGACCAGGGTCTCTATTTTGCTTTCAGGTAATTCTAGTTATATTCAGCTAAGTCTAGTAACATTTTAAAAAATGAAAATAACTTTGATAAAATATACACTTGAATTTTAAAGGTACATACTACATTTTCATTATTAAGAAATTAAAGCCATTGCCAAACATATAATCTATTTTTGTTAAAAATATTTTTTTGGTTAGAAGAAAATTTGTTGGCCTTTATAATTGTGAGGAAATATATAGATAGGTTATATTTAAGGTGGCATGGTTTTTGGCCCTATGTTGATTGCTGTATATTGAGTATAAAATTGTCGTCTTTGACAGAATTTTTCTAGTAAACAAATGGAGACCTAATTTATACTTTGTTCACATACTTTTAGTTTTTATTATTTTTAAGTGAGTCTGTTGTAACACATGACTTCAGCACGTGATTTCATGCTCAGAACTAAAATATGGGCTAATTCACAGAACAAAAATATGGGCTTAAATATTGTAATATATTAAATAAAAATTTAAGCCAATTTAGATGAAATTAGAAAAATGAGTCTGGGACTTAGCGATCAAATTACTTAAAAGGAAATTGAAACTAATAATGTCTGTGGAAATGACCATCTGAATGAATACATATTTCTTCTGTAGACATGACCTGTACAAATATCTGGGACTAAAATAATAGACATTATTAACATAAGTTTAGAAATTATGTGCAATAAAGAAAATTTTATATTATGTGTTCATGAGTTTGCATTATAGTTGGAAAAAAGAATAGGAAAAAATACTACTTATATAATTAACATTTTTCTCCAAATTTCTTAAGTTGTCCCTAAATTTTAAAAGCCCATGAAGCTTTTAAATAGGGTTCTCAAT